CTACATACACGAAATTTACGTACAACAAGCGCTTAGGAAGCATTATGAAAGAAATCGCAAATAAAAAAGTTACAAGAATAGTCTTAAAAAGAGCTCCGAATTTGTACAGAATACTTAGAAATGATAAAGGGATAGTTAAAAAAGAGGATAGGTCAGGTGTATATAAGATCCCATACGAGAATCAGATGTTAGGAATAGATAAAGAATATGTTGGGGTTACTACTAGAAATCTAGGGGTAAGGATAAAAGAGCACAGATATGATGTGAGAAAAGGTTCGAATGCCACAGTATTGTCTCAAATGGCGCAAACGGAGGGTTCGATAGTAAGATGGAATGAAGCAGATATACTGAAACAAATACACTCCCCGACCTTGGCAAAAACGGCCGAAAAATTAGAAATTTATAAAAGCAAACTTAAAGGGAATTGCATCAACGCAAGGGATGCCGAGGGACTTCCTTCCGCATGGAAGTTTGCAGTTAAAAACTTCAAATAAGAGCAGGAGCTTTAATATTATGTATATAAAAAACTCTGTATAGTTTAGTTGAGAAACTCCGTACAGTTTATTAAGCATTATTAATATATAGTGTTATCGATTTGTCTATTAAGTTTGAAGTATTAATATTTTGTATACACAATTTATTTGTTATATTTTAATATTTTATTTTTATTTTTAATTTTAGCAGCATTTGTATTAATTATATTATTTAAAAACGTTATTTTGCTGTTAGTAATATATTGGTTATCCATTATTAATATTTATATTTTTTGTATTTTGAACTTGTTGTTCTATTTTTTGAAATGTTCTAATTTACCTGAAGATGATCCATTGATTGGATTGAAAACGTTTGTGTTAAGAATAAATCTCACAGCGAGTGAACAGGTGTTGATTTAGTTATAGTTTATTATTTTCTGCTGAGCACGCTTTGGGTTGTTTAAAAAAAATACTTTTCTCTGAAATCTGTATTACATTTAATTATTTAGAAATGTAATAACTGTTAAATTTATTATTGATATAACTAAAAAAATTAAATTATGTTTAACTGAAAATGCTGTCTCATTATAAAATCAAAATTATATCTCTGAATTGTGTAAGATAGTGAAAATAAACTTTGACATATTTCTTCTGTGTTTGTTTACGGTAATAAATAGCTTCCTACATGGCTGTAAATAGTCGTTTGGTCAACATGTCTGAAATTTTCTAAGATAATCTAATTGATATCGTAATGAACTAGCATAACAAATTTGTAGATAAACATGTTCCTTCAAATGTATACAAAATTTGCTTAAAATTTAAACAGTTAATAGTTATATTAACAATTATTTATTAAAGTATCTAATTTTTAGGTTTTATGGTAAAATATTGTTAATTTGTAAGACAATTGGATTTATATTAATTTATTTTAATGTGAAAAAATTTAATGGGATTGTAAAAGGAGGAAATTCTTTAAAAGGGAAGTTGTACACTTCTAACTTTTGTCATTCCTTATCAGTAAAGAATAGCTATTGTCGTAAAAATTATTCATGTACTAATAGCAGTTATAAATAATGTTTGCGATGGTTTTTTTTTTATGTCGAAGTTATATTATTTTAATGCATTATCAATTGATTAATTAGTGCAATATAAGCTGATAATTTTATAAGAAGTGGCTTAAACAAATGTTGGAGATTTTTATGGTAATTATTGATTAAATTTGTGGTTCTTATAATTACAAAAAGATAGGAAACTGATAATTTTTATAAAGTTTTTTTTCCTTCTAAAATATTGCTACTGTAGTTGCTTGGCTGTGTGCCAGCTTGTGTTTCTATCATAAAAAAAATTATTCTCCTTGATTAATCGTTAGATTATTGTGATGTAAATTCTTAGATTTTTCTTACGTTATATTGAAAAATATATTAAGTTTTTTTTTCCTTCTAAAATATTGCTACTGTAGTTGCTTGGCTGTGTGCCAGCTTGTGTTTCTATCATAAAAAAAATTATTCTCCTTGATTAATCGTTAGATTATTGTGATGTAAATTCTTAGATTTTTCTTACGTTATATTGAAAAATATATTAAGTAATCTGTTATTATTTGTACTTCCTGTAAGAATGATTTATTTTTAAAGTAAACACTATAATTTTATTGGTAACAATTGTCAAGGGTTTACTTGTATGCTTGAGTGATTTTCTTTTTTAATATGAATTCAGTTGTGAAATTTGTCTCACTGAAATTCTTTAAATTTGTACAGGATTATTCATCGGAGTTATTGACATTTAAGTTTTATAAAATTATATATTAACAAGAATTTGGAGGAAATTTAATTTAGTTTATCCTTTATTTGCATTTCAGACAGCCCTTAAAGGAGATTAGCTTCACAAATATTTCAATGGCTCATGGAAAGAAAGATGGTAATTTTAATTAGAACTACTTGAAGTTTATATAATTAAAATATACTTTTTTATATAACTTAATTTTTATTTTAAGGTTTCAGCTATATAGATGGTATTCCTATTAAAGTTATTGAAAAATACCGCCCGCCAAGAAAAGTCATGTTGCCCATTGCTTGTCATATTCCCGATCTGACACCATTGCTGAAAGAAGAGGTGAGTTATAAAATTTTGATTTTTAATCTAATTTAAGGGACTGCCATTTCACTAAAGATAAAAAGTCTTTTACTTAAGTGAACTTTTTATTGCTTAACATAAGAAATAAAACATTCACTTTAATGTGGATTACTACAAAGAATACAGAATATAATTGTTCTTGAGTAATGATCTGTAATGTAGATTATATGTTTTATTTATAAAACAAAAATAAAACTTTCAGTTAATTTAGATTTTAAGAAATTATACTTGATGCTGGCATTTTCATAGCTGCATTCTTTATCAATATCTTGAGGCTGTAAAGTTTGAATAAAATTTTTTAACCTTGAATGTATCTACATTGCAAATATAAAATTATTTTACTGCGTTATGAATACTTATGATTTTTCTAATTTACTTTTGCACTTTCTTTCGTTTTTAATATTGAAACACATTATCCTCCATTTTAACCATAAAATTCTGAGATTTATAAACATTAAACATTTCAGGACAAAACTGTATTGCCATAAGATCTAATATTCCAGTCTGAACAATTTTATTAAATGTAAACAAATCAAAGAATTTCAAAAATTTTAAACTCTTCAAAGAATATATTTAAACCAATTGACAGTTTCTAAAACATTGAAATTTAGAAGTGTTAAAACCAGATAGAGCTGGCAGATTTTGCAGTGCCTAATTCAAGGAATGTTCTTTCTTCTAAGGATTGTAGAGAAGCTTACAATCATGACAGAATCATAATAAAGTGATTTTGACCCTTGGGTATTAGTTATAATGTTATTTCATGATACCAGAGATAGAATTACAACTTTATAACCAATATACAAAAATTTTTGAAAAAATTTATTCAAAATTATTTAAAATATCTTCGTTTCATTTTATTTATGTTTGATGTTTGGAAAGGCTAAGATTGGAATATTAGATTTAATATGAGACAGTTTACTCTGAAAAATTGTTTAATCTTAATAAATTCTAAACATTTCAAACTGTTTTGAGATTTATGATTTATTTTTTTTAAGGAATCATTTATCATTGATGAGTGGATTCTGTCAATTATTCTTTACAGATGTAAATATACAATTTACATCTGTAAAGAGAAAAAAATTGTATATTTTGATACCTGTATTAGTTATTTAATAAATGTTTGATAATTGTAGAAACTAATTTAAAAATAATGAGATATAAAAAAATATTTGAAAATATTCAGTAGTATGAAAGTTTTAAACAAAACGTACATCCAAAGTATTGTTTGCAAATATATACACAGCAAATGCAATTTTTAAATATTTCAGCATCAAAAAATATGATGTTTCCTAAATGTTAAGACAAAACAGTTTAAGGGAGTTTCATACTAGTTTTATTACTTACAATATTATAGATCAATATGTTTACCTTCATTTCTGTTGAATTTCATATATTAAAAATATTTACTATAAAAAAAAAAAGTTTGGTTTTAATATAGCTGGGCAATTTAGGAATGCTTTTTATAGAACAATTGTGTTCTGTTTGATTTATGGGCAGTCAGTTAACTTGTAAACCAAGTTAGTGGATTTTTCCAAAATACTTTTATTTGAATTATCACATTTCTTTTTAAGAAAGGAAAATCTCTTACTTTACAGATGACAAATTTCTGAAACTGCGTTATTCTATCTTCCTCAGACTGTTCTGAATCATTAAAAAATAATTAAAATGATTTTTTTTAAGACTATCATGTACTTGATAGAACTTAGCTTCATTTCATTGAGTACTAACTGATTAAGAACAAATATAATTTGATTTTAAATTATGTTAATTTCTATCTTATCAAAATTTAAAAATTAAGATAGAATTTTTAATTTATATTGATTTAAAAGCATTTCATAATAAATTTTTTTAAATACTGATTTGAGACACTTTTTGGATTAAATTATCTATAATTATTTAGAAAAAATATTTTCACCCAAGCATTGCATTACTTACCAAATGATTTATCTATAAGTTAAAAATAATAATAATTAAATTAATATAAACAAATATAATAACTTAGTTTTAAATACAAGTATTGATTTTGAACTTTCTTTACAGTATGACTTTTCTTTGGAAAACAAAGTTTTGAAATGGACAGAAAATTACAGACAAGAAATAAAAGAAGTGGAAGATGCAAAAAGGAAAAATATGGCTTCCGAAACAGAATTTACGAAACCGGATATTTTGAGTGAATTAAAATTGCCAGATAGTGAAGAAAGGGTAATGCAAAGTGACAGCTGTGAAAAACAGACAGACAGTGATATACCTGTGAATGCAAATTTTGTTCCAAAATGGCAAATACATTCAATACTAGAACCTCAACAAGTTCCCTGTCAGTCAGTAAGTAATGGGTTAGAAAATGTTAGATTAAAAAATATTAATATTTCTGACTTTGAAAGTGAATCTACCAGTCCGTTTGATTATGTAGAACTCCAAACTATCAATGATTTAGAAGAGTTGAATAGTGTCTTCCAAGACATGAATGTTGTGAAACACAGTACAAATAATGCTCTCGAACAAAATAACCCTTCGAATGTTTCATTAGATGTAGGTATTTGCCACACGAATTGGGAATTTCAAAACAGATTTCAGTTCGGAAATGATAGAACTGTTATGAAACGCACGCTTTCGCAACCCATCTTTGAATCGGCCGTGCGCCATCAAAATCACTCTGCAAATCAGTTTGTTGCCACATCAGTGACAAGTAACCCATGCTTGAAACAAAATACTCTAGAAAATTCTTGTAAGATGTATTCGGCCTCATTGGGAAATCCACCAACTGAGGGTAGTGCCCTATTTAATAATACATATAACTTTAGTGATAAAGATTCTAACTGTTCCCCTTATTCTTCGTTAAGTGCTTCTGTAATCAGAAACTCTAGAAGTATTTCAGATTTAAGAAAAATTACAGATTTAAATGCAGAAGAGGATCACACGTCCTGGAGACCAAACACACCTCCACTTAAATCTTCTAAATCTGTTTCTGTAGATGTGAGTATTTTATTTTCTATTTTAATCACATAAATATGTTCTTTTATATCTAAAGGCTGGTTCTCATAATTTATAGAAAAATTTTTTCATTTATTATAATTCATTATAGATAAATGCAAAATTACTTAACGAAATGTTTAAAGTGTATTTTAGATAACTCTTCCATAAAATATATCATATGGAGGTAATTGATATCAATATATTGCAAATTGTGTTTGTCCATGGAACAAATATTTTATTTATTATGTAAGGGGTAAAACGTATTAATGAAAGATTTTAATAAAAATTTAGTTTTAGGCTAATAGTAAGCCAACAGTATATTTGTATGAAACTTTTTGTTGTGTTCATATTAGATGTAATGTAGTTTTCTATTTGACTTGAGTACCATTTTCTTATTCATTTGCAATACATGTTGATTTCAGATGAACTGTTTCTTTACAATAAATTCCATGTATGAAAAACTTATTATTATTCCAGTTTTTAGCACGTTCCACTATAGTGGTGAAATGCTTATGTTATGACTTTTGTTTGTCTATCTGATTTCTATGCACATGCACAATGACTTCACTTTTGTTACGGGTTATGTTCCATTCAATCCATTTATTGTGCATGTCCACGTGCATACACAACTACTACTTGATTCCAATAATTTATAAAATTTATTTTAAACAAAATTAATATTTGATTCACTTTTGTGGAGTGTGCTATTAGATCAGCTTGACCAAGCTTGTTTGATATTGTTGACTGGTCCTAATTAGATTTCAAACATTCTTTATTCATCTCTTTACTAAACTTATCCTTTCCATTACTGATCTAATTTTCTTTGACCAAAATTTTTTCTCAAATTCTTTTTCACCTAAATTTGAATGTAAACTCCTTTTTCAATCCAACATTTCCTTCATTTCCTTTTCTCTTGTAGCTATTAGTCCATTGCTTTCTTCAGTAGAATTTCAGAACTGATTATTTTTTACATGACCAAACTGCATTAAGTGTTTATTTTTCTTAATTTTTTCTAAGATGATAGTTGACCATTATTACTTTGACTTATGGATTAGATCCATATTGGACTTACTGGATTAGATCCATACAAATGGTACTTATTAACCTGACTTATGGATTAGATCCATAAGTCAGCTTAATAAGTACTGTATGATATATATTCTTTCTCTTACTCTAACAATATTTTTATCCCAGAGTACTGAATTTAGGGGTCCAGTAATTCTTGTTGAAATTGTATTTCTATTGTTCCACTTTTACTGTTTATTTTTTTAAATATATTGTATTTGTTACACCAGAAAATTATGATATTAAGATAGATCATTTTCAGACATTGCACAGTTTTTATCATCATTATTTATATTTGTGAAAATTAAAGGTGATATCTGGAAGTCATTATTTTAGGTTTTTGAAGCTTAGTCTTTTTCATTAGATATTTGAGAAAAATTATACAGTAGACCCCCCCCTATAACGCTTAGATACGTTCCACGCTAATCGAATTTTACGTTGTAGGAATGATTAAATACATGAGCCAATCGCAGCCCGATAGGTGTGAACTTTACGGACTAAGGCTGTTTGAAAGGTTTT